CAACACGTTTAATCTCCATTCTGTATTTGTTTACCCAGCCACTGAAGACCTGGTGAGTCAATCTTCACCGTAAATAACCTGTGCAGATTGGACTCACCTGGTTAATTGGATGGGGTAGCTTAAATACATAAGCATGAGATGACTTGTTGACTCCACATTGCCCATGTCTGCGTCTTCAAACTCTGTCTTTCCATCGTCCTACCACACAATTCTCCCAACAAACTGATTTATTTCTACTACACCCGGCTACGCTGCTTCGCTTCTTCTTCTTCTTGTTTACTACTGGTGTTGGCTTTGGCTCGCACGTACGCACCTTCTGCTTGGAGTGTACAGCTTCACCTACGATTGAAAAAGGTATTTTTTAGCAGCGAATTTTGTACGGAATGCATCACACGTGAACCGAACCGAGGACAGTCAAACGAACGGTTGTAACCGGTTTGTCATAAACAGTTCTCATCCCTAGTTTCCATGTAGTCCAACTGTTTTTCCCCATGCTTGTGGGCTACCACATATGGGGCCTATGTAACTTAGACTATTGAGATCTGCAATTTGGCTCCTGTATCAAGACATGGCTAGTAGGCTTTCGGGAAAAACACATGGGGCCACCATGGAAACGATGGACAAACCCTCACTTGGCGGTCCCGATATACTTCCAAAATTTGAGCCATGTTATTGGTCCCCCACATTAAATGGCTGGCTGAAAGGTTTGACAAACGTTTTATTATTTTATATAGAAACAGATAACAAAAGTACTAACAAGACTTGTAAACTCACAAGGAAAACACAAAAGTGGTTTTTGCAGGGATGGGATGCATTGGAACTAGGAAGATAAACAAGGGAATAAAACACAGACAATCCTAAAAGGACAAAGGGAGTAGTAGGTATGTTTACATAGAGATAATTCTTTTGGTACAAAATATTCTGATGAGATTTAAAATGCAGTGTTTACATGGAATTATTCATTCCATTCTGGTGTGTACATCGCCGGTCAACAGATCCAAGCAGAACTATTCTGTTCTGGTATGCACTGATATGATGTGTGTGAGTAGTCACATTATTTTAAATACGATCAAGGTTTAAAAACTGATACTCATACCAGTATTTGCAGTCATGGAGAATGCCCAGAGAAAAAGCGTAGCGAAAGCAGTCTGAATTAATACAAAACAATTTCTGTTGCTGTCCAGGAATTATGCGGTTCACCACGTCACACTGCATTGACGCTGAGTTTTGTAGAAACATTCACTGTTAAGAACGCAACTTACAACTTTATGATTCAGTGTTTTACAGATCCCACGATGGTTGACGGAATGGAACAGTCTACCCTGTGAAACAAATGGAATTCACGGTTCACATATTTCGAATTTCAGAACAGCACTTGTTCTTCCTGTCTTTCATTATTGGACAAAATGATTTACCAGGTTTGTGTGTTAGGCCAGTTTTTGAGATCAGAACACTCATGGGATTAATAGTTTGTCAATAATGAAAGACAGGAAGCAAAGGTGTGCCATGGTCTGTAATGATTTTTGTTTTTTTGGAGATAGTGTAGTGGATACGTGCATATAGCATTTCTTTGTATCTCAACTCCACTGTCATTACTTCTTGGGCTACCTTCTTTATTTTCAAGTTGAAATGAGTGGAACTTTATACAAGTCTATGACTTTGTATATATTTGTAAATATTGTCTATAAACTTTGTTCCCTCCTCTGCACTCTGTTTTAATTGCATTTCTGTGCTAAATACTGAACTTACTTAACCCATAAGATAATGATAAGATAGTAAGATAAGATAAGATAAGATAAGTTTTCACATATTCCTTTTTCAGTGGAAATGTTCCATGATGGGAATGATTGATAACATTGCTTGCAAGGACAACTTTCCACATTGCTCCTCATCATCTGGAAGAAGCATACCATTAATGATGCTTTGTTGGAGGATTCGCTAATGGGAAGCAGTGAGGAATGACTAATACACTTTTATGCTTATACATGCTTTAGTGTTTCCACTATGGAGAGGTGAGAGAAGAATTTTATGTCAGAGCTAATGTCTATCTAATGGACAAACAGCACCCCATGGCAAGCCTGAAGTGTTTGCCATCTGATTTCAAGAGATAATAAAACCATTCATAATAAAAGAAAAAGTTAAAAGCAGATGTTGAATCCTGAGAGTTGTTCGGGAAGCCACAACTGACCACTCATTAACTAGCAGGATATTCATAGGCATAGCCAAGTTGATTTTTCCTTCCTTATGCCTTTTAGTCTAGCTTAGAGCCATCTGTTCAGTAGCTATTAATTATGTGCTGGCTGTGCTGAATTGTTGTTTGTTAAGGAATGTTTGTATATATATTTATATATATAGTACACTATTTGCCAAAGTATATCGCTCACCTGCCCTTGACCTCAATATGAGCTTAGTGACATCCCGTTCCTAACTCCATAGGGTTCAATTAGACGTCGGTCACCACCCTTGCTGCAGCTAGAACAGCTGACAATCTTCTGGAAGGCTGGTCCACAAGGTTTAGGCGTGTGTCTTATGGGAATTTTTGACATTCTTCCAGAAGCGCATTATGTGAGGGTCGCACACTGATGTTGGACCGAGAAGGCTGGCTCTCCAGTCTACGCTATAATTCATCCCAAAGGTGTTTATCGGGTTGAGGTCAGGATCTGTGCAGGCGAGTTCAAGTTCATCCTCACCAGACTTGTGTCATCCATGTCTTATGTGTGGACCTTGCTTTGTGCACTGGTGCACTAGTCATGTTGGATTGAGGGAAGGGGCCAGCTCTCCGAAACGTTCCCACAAAGTTGGAGAAGTTGAGGAATTGTTCCAAACATGTCTTGCGTATGCTGAAGTCATTTCAGAGTTCTCTTCCACTGGAAACTAAGGGGCAAGCCAGCTCCTGGAAAAACAAACCCCACACCATAATTCCCCCTCTCACCAAACTTTACACTTGGGACAATGCAGTCAGACATGTACCTGTTTCTTATTTAGTGCAAACTCGCCAAAACCCAGACCGTCACATCAAGTCCTTGCAGATGGAGAAGCGCGCGAGTCGTCACTCCAGAGAACAAGAAAGAAAGGGGGAAAAAAAACTACGTAGAATGCGTCTCCACTGCTCTAGAGTCCAGTGGCGGCGGCTTTACACCACCGCATCGACGCTTTGCATTGCACTTGGTGTGATGTATGGCTTGCAATGATGCAGCTGCTCGACCATGGGAAACCCATTCCATGAAGCTCTCTGAGCACTGTTCTTGAGCTAATCTGAAGGCCTCATGAAGGTTTGGAGGTTGTACGTGATTGTCCTCTGCAGAAAGTTGGCGCTCTTTTCTTCGCACTTTGCGCGTCAGCATTACGGCTGACCCCTGCTCCGTCCGGTTTACGTGGCCTACACTTCGTGGCTGAGTGCTGTCGGTTCCCAAAACACTTCCATTTTCTATAATACAGCTGATGTTGACTGTGGAATATTTAGGAGCGAGGAAATTTCACGACTGGATTTGTTGCACAGGTGATCCTATCACGTTACAAGCTGGAATTCAGATGAGCTCTGGAGAGGACCCATTCTTTCACTTGAGGTTTGTAAAAAACAGTCGCTTGCCATAGGTGCTTGTATTTATACACCTAGTGGACATGGAGTGATTGGAACACTGCTTCCTCAATAATTCTGGATGGGTGAGCAAATACTTTTGGCAATATAGTGTATATATCATATATATATACCTCCCAACCTTCTTCTACTTTATATATATTAATATATAATATTTTTATATTATATATATATATGTTATATATAATACCTATACTATATCATATGTATGTATATATTATCTTACAAGGTTTAATGTTTTTCTCGCTCATTATTTCATGTTTTAAATTAATGCTCACTCTCTTCACACTCCTCAGTGAATGCCACATACTTCTTTGTCTTCCATATGAGGCAGGTTTACTCAATTCGTCTTATGAGGCGAAACAATCAGCAGGTTTCCCATATCTACGCTGCTTAACAATCACGCCTCTCGACGTCAAATTTACTAGATCTTTTTTTGTGTGAAGTCTGATAGGTATAACATATTTCGAGTGTGCAGAAGGAGTTAGATTATATAAAAGATTCTTCTTCATTTGCTTCCCTTTAACTATTTAATATATATATATATATATATATATATATATATATATATATATATAGACTATATGTATGTATATATGCACATATATATGTACATATATACCTATATATATTTATACATATGTATTATACATTTATTATGATATATATATATAATATATATATACATGTTTACTTGATATATATTAATATATATAAATGTATATAGATATATTTTGTACATTAATGTACTTATATTATGTATATAATATAGGTCTTATTTAGCATTTATATATGGATATATTTAGACTATATATATATATATATATATAATATTTAATAGTATATATATATACCTATATATATATATAGATTAATATGTATAGATGTACATATATATATACATATATATTATACCTAATATATATATAATTGTATACATTACATATAATATATAGTATTATAATACATACATATATTATATATATATATATTATATATTATATATATATATATATATATAATATATATTTAAATATATATATATTATATATATATATGTATATATGGGGGTTATGTATATATAAAAAAGGAAAAAAGAAAAATATATATATATATTTTATTTATTTATTTATATTTTTAAATATTGTGTCATGTATTTGTTTTGTCCAAAAGAATTAAATTAAAGATGTAAAGCTAAATTGAGTAAGGACCAACGTGAGAGTTCATATGTGGAACCATTGGACAATGTAAATTGTAAATGCACTTACAAAAGCACACCTAAATATGGGGCCTCACAGTGGCAGTGGTCTTTTGTACTTTAAAATTAAGGCAACATTTTAGTCTGTATGCCGTGAAGGATCGTATTTTTATTCAAATTCTACTTTCCGTGACATTTTTTTTTTGTTTCAAGTTGGAGTTATCCAAATTACGAGTGTTTTGAATGCATCATATTCGAATTTACAAAGCGCACTCGGGAGCAGAAAGTGCGGGAGCCGTGAGGTCTATCCAGGAGAGGACGCAACGGGGAGGTGAGTCCCTTAACAAAATAAATGAATGCCTTAATCTGTCTGTGGGAAACGTTTAGCTTTTATTGTTGGAACTTCACATGTTTTTTTTTTTTTAGCTGCCAGTGGTACAAAAAAACGTTAGCTAGTTAACTTTCAGTTAACAGGGGTGAAAGTAAGCTGGTATGGTCCAGTATTGTGTAGCTACCACTAAAAGATTAGCAGCGGCATGCAGTAAAGCCTCTAGAACCATCACCACCGCACTGTTTACAAAAAAAAAAGATCTACCAGCAATTCATGCTCTTTAAAACTACTTTGTCTGTTTGAAAATCCATTTTAATCCAATCGGAATTTAACTGTCTGAGCTGAGTTTTAGTTCATGCTGGCACTGGTGTCCTGCCCTTCCTCCTCTCCTCCAGAAGTCCGGTGGTCTCCCCAGCTCCCTGAACGTTCGTTTACTGCAAGATTAATTACTTCATGTCTATTGCAAAATGCCCTATTTAAAATCAGTAGGACAGCAGCTGTGTTTGAGTTCAAAGCAGCAATTTTACTTTAGCAACACATAAAAAAGGCGACCGCAGTCTGTACGGCATGTCGCATCCATCCGAGAAACAGTTAAATCATATTTTTCTGGCTCTGATTGAACATCAATCTCGAAAATAATGAAAGTGTTGTGGAATAAATTTTTTGTGGTCCAGGCAGCGCAGTGTGTGAACGTGAGTGAGAGGGCGCGCCGCTGTGAAGCCAGAAGAGAAAAGGTGTGTGAAATGTAGGGCTGGGCGATATAGAAAAAAAGCTTATCGATAAAAAAAAATGCATATTGATCGATATCGATAATTATTGAAAAGATTTGAAACCATATTTTATGTGCAGCTCTGCCTGGATATTTTATGATTTTGCTAAATGTTTTAATTTTAATAAAAAACACAAACACAGACTTCGAATTAAATCTTTATTTAACCAACTTTTTTATCCATAACAGAATTGTTTTAAAGAAAAATAACTTAAGAGACCTGAGTTATGTTATTAAATACTGACAAAGAATAAACTAAAGTGACCAAAATAAATATAACAAATAAATGGACCCCCCACCCCCCCGCTGCCCCCATTCTTCTAAGCTGAACCTGGTTCAGCTTAGTTTCCTGCTTTAACCGGAGTTAGTACTTTGAAGTTGCTGGCCCCTCAGCATTTTTCTCTCAAGTGTTACTACTAATTGGAACAACGTGGGAAACTGCCCAGAACTTAATATATATATTTTTTCCCGAAGATTCCTCGGAGGAGAGCCGCGTCGGGGCCTACACAGCTCGTACTCCTGCGGCTGTGATGATAAAAAAAAAAAAAAAAGTTGGTTGCGTTATCAGACTTCATTTTCACTGGTTCCCGACACATTTTACAGATGACTGTGGTTTGTTTTTTTTCCGACTTGCCATGACTGAAATACTTCCATACTGGCGAACTACAAAAACCCTTCTTTGGAACAATTTCCTCCGCCTCTCCTTGCTGCGACATCTTCATGTGTTCTGTGTTGTGGTTTGAGAGGGCGGCGCTTGGTCTATCGATTGATATATATCGTTATTGAATTATCGCCCAGCCCTACTAAGCATGCCTATCACTTAAGCGTGAGCTGGTCATTGCAGTCGGTGGACAGGACACATTTAGAAATGTAATGTGAACACCCACACAAAAAGTTCGGATCTGACAAAACAATTGGAATTGAGCATTTATTTATTTGTTTATATTTATTTTGGTCACTTTAGTTTATTCTTTGTCAGTATTTAATAACATAACTCAGGTCTCTTAAGTTATTTTTCTTTAAAACAATACTGTAATTGTTAAAAAAGTTAATGAAATAAATATTTAATTGGAAGTCTGTATTTGTGTTCTTTATTAAAATTAAATCATTTAGCAATATTATAAAAAGTCCAGGCAGAGCTGCACATAAAATATGGTTTCAAATCTTTTCAATAATATCGATATCGATCAATATGCATTTTTTTTTTATCGATAAGCTTTTTTTCTATATCGCCCAGCCCTAATACAAAATGTAAATGTGCATTAAGAATAATTTTCATCTACTCATTTATAAAGAGATAGATTAATGTGTCAGTCAGTACCGGCAAGAATTTAAAACTACTTTCACCCTTGGTTAGATGTTGTATACTGACAAGAAAATAGTTTAGATTGAACTTGGAAAAAAATTAGAATGGTTAACTGTTATAATTATTCAGTTTATGTACTATTATGCATTTTTTGAACTTGCATGCTCTTCCAAAAGAATGCTGTGTTGTGAGCAATTCAGTGGCCAGTGTAAGCATATTTTGGCATTCATATTTTGCTTAAAAAAAAAAAAAAGAACTTGCATTTCTTTGATTCGGCTTCAACTACATCCCTAGGAAAATAAATACATAATTTCTATTTTTCTAAAGCAAAATGTGAATGACTTTTTTGTTTGTATGACTTTATTTTTGTGAAGGAAAAAGACGCAGTGCTACATTATTATGGATGCACGATATTGGAGTTTTGGCTGATATCCGATATGCTGATATTTTAAAACTTGTGGCCGATAACTGATATTGATACCAATATTAAAGCTGAAAAAATAAGTAGTGATTGCAAACAGTTTGTTATCCGTTTCCAACACTTTGAAAAATAGTGTGGAAAAAAATACTGATACACTGAAACAGTGGGCTGGTCGGTTGAATATCGGTTAAATATCGGTGGGGTGATGTTCGACACTCACTTTAGGCCAATATCGATAGCGGCTGATTATATTGTGCATCCCTATACATTATACATTTTAACAACAGTGTATTATACTGTTATGATGAATTTTACAATATTGTTACAGAAATCTGGTGGTGGCAGAAACGATTGAACTCATTAAAGGTAGGAATCTCTGGAGAAACACAGTTTTTTTTTTACAAATGCACACCTTGCCCTCATGCCGTTTACCTTTGCACTGTCCCTGTCAGATAAATAAACAAATGTACTGATATATGACGTACCAATGTGTAATGCTTGTTCATTTCTTTCTCTTTCAGAGTATCATTCTGCTGCTGAGCTGCACAAATTGCTAAACACCAAATAGGTTAGTGATCCTGTAATACCACACGCTGTAATTTAAGGAAAAAAGCTGTCAAAAGAGTGTTGAAAGGTTCTTGGACTCTTTATATGGACCAGGTTTGAGTTGAGGTTGACAGTGACGAAGAGTGCAGTTTTCAGGATGAAGTGAGTTCTTCCAACCTCGGAGGCGCAATCGCTGAATTCACCAGACCAAACGTGGACATAGACGAGGCGGAGATGGTGGATTACAGTTGTGATGGATCGACGATGACAGAAATCGCTCTGCTTCAAGTGATCGAAATTTTGGGGGAGAGTTTAGCAAGTTGCCTTGAGGAGTCTGGAGTACACTAGTTTGGGAATTTACCTGATTGCTTTGTAATGCCCTCTTGTCTCTTTATAAAAGTTCATTCTTCCTGTCTTTGCACCAAAGATGCCAGAACATTGTTTAAGACACAGGTTTGCCAGCTGTTTAGACCCTTGGCTGGTGGATCATTCCACTATTTTGGGTAATCAGAATATGTTTCGAGACTAAAAATGATTTCAGAGACTTGACAGCATTGTTCCAGATAGGTCACCTAGCTTTTCAAATTGCAATTGAATCATTGACGGTCTTTCCAATTGTTTGTTAAATATGTAAGTTGGGAATGTGTATGGGTTTGTCTAGCTATTTCTAAATATTATCGTTTGTGTTGTTGTATCCTCTTCCTCTTCTAGGCAATGTTTTAACATTGTTGAATTTGTAGAGACCCAAGAAGTCGTGGTGGTGCCAGCAGTGGGTGGTACATGACATTTGTCAGTGGCCCTCTTTACTACAACCCTGAAGATTGTTGTAAAGGCGTGTAGATGATGGCAGAGTCAGCAGCGATCATCTTGGGGGGAAGAGTTAGAGTTAGGATTTTATATAAAGCAGGTATACACATCACCACATACCTGATTCAGTCATTAAAAAAAAAATACACTATTAGAGTAATATATACTAAATCTCTTTATTTACAGCAAAATACACAAAAACTGACCGGCCTCAAACTTCCCAGGCAGAACCCACACCTCGACCGCTACAGACAGCAGAAGAAGATGATGACATACCACAGAGAAAGCGAAAAAGACTGTAAGCATTCAAAGCCACTACAGCACTATATTTGTGAGATATTAAGAATTATTACTTCATTAGCCACTGTCAATAACCACCTCACTTAGAGTGATTTCTAATTCAGTTTATTTTAGAAAGTAAGTCATTTGCTGATGCAATTCATATAAATTCATAAAGTGTTATACATAAACTAATATTATAATACCATTACTTATGTGATATTGATGACTATCAAGGTACAACCACTGGAGCTGTAAACACCAACTACACAGGATGCCATGTTTTGAGGCTGAAGTATAACATTTAGCTTTGAAAACTGAATCTCTTTATTCATTCACATTATGTTGTAGAAAAATCACTTAGTTGGGGAGACCTGGGTAAGTTGAACCTAGGGACAAGTTTAACCACCAATTGTTGCTAGGAACCCTTAAGGAAAAAAATGAACATGTGACCAAATATTTAGGATAATGGTATAATTTCATGGAGTATGTAAAGGCAAGAACTATAAAAGTGGTTTGACATACGTATGTCCAAAAATGAGAACAAAACATTTTCACTGTTGAGAGTGAATCCAGTCAATAATCAAGTGTTATGAGATTTGTGTTTAGATAGAATTATAAATTTGTTTTATACACGAGTCATGGTATCTATGAGGTGGTAAACCTGTGTGAAAATTGACCCTTTCAGCTGCGGGGAGGAATAAATTCCATAAAGTAGCTGTGGGATGAGTTGAGCCACTTGTCCTATACACTGAATAATGAATGTATTTCAGGTTATTACAGCATGATTCTGGATTATGATTACAGTATGTACCTTAAAACAGGCAGTGTTGTTTCTTGTAAGGCAAGCGTTACTTTCAGAGAGGAAGAGAATGGATTCTTGCAAAGTAATGTCAAAATTACCCCCCACCCCACCCCCAAAAAATTATAAAATCTCAGTGAGTTGGTAGCTCAGAAACAGGTCCCTGGTTTTGTGTTCATCTGCAACCTGGACAGGTGGAATATTGTTAGAAGTGGGGGTGGGAGATGGATAAAGGGGGTGGATAGTAGGGCTGGGTATTGTTCAAAAGTTTTCGGTTCCGGTACCAATACCGATACCTTCACTTCGATACCGGTTCCTGAACGATACTTTTTTCGATACCAGTTTTATAATATCAATTTGAAGAAAAAGAAAATTACACAACATAAAAAAGTACAAATCTTGAGTTTTATTTTAAGCTCTGATTTTTCCATTTACATTTTTCCTCTTACATAAAAAAAAAAAAAAAAAAATGAGTGTCTAATATTCACTGTTACATTGTGAGGACCTTTTTACTTAGCAGTTTTCCTTTAGAAAAATTACCATGTCTGAAAAACAAGCCCATTGAATGGGATCCTACTGACAGCGCACCGCTGGTATGGGGGGGTCTGAGCGGCTCCGACAGAAATATTGGAAGGCAGGATGAACTGACTGCACTGATTACGTTTTCAGGTGGATTTTCTCACTAAAAAACATAATAAAACTACTTTATTCCCACTGATCACAGCAAATATAGCTGCAAGGCAAATAAAGGATAGAGTATCTCCGCCCAACGCGCGTCAGAGCCACTTTTCGACCGCGCAGCCAGAGCAGCAAAGCTGCTTCAGCTGTGCGTCAGAACTAACTGGTACAAGCAGCAAAAAGGAAGCAGCAGACGCGATTTTGCTGCTCCTGCTGCGTCCAGTGTGAAAGCAGCATGATTCACTCCGCTCTGGCTTTGCTCCGCCCACGGGCTGCTGAGAGGAGGATGGTCGCGCTGGCTGCGGTCCGCTCTTCTTGCAGTCAAACACGGAGCAACTTTCTGCTCTTAAATTGTTTCCGTGCACGATGTATTGCATTGCGCACTATTAGCATCAGTATTAATAAAGTGAAGCCGCACTTCTGACCTGGGGGGCATTTTAAAGGGGTTCCACGATGCTCGCAACTAGTTCACAACAGATACACATGAACCCTGGCTGTAGGCGTGACCACCTGTGTATTTTTCCTGGATGATGCAATCACGTTAAGTGTTACAGCCAATCACCGAAACTTGGTACCGAAAGAAGAGGCATGTTTCGATACTCTGTAGAACCGAAGCATTTCGGTCGGTACCATAAAAGAACCGAAGTTCGGTACCCAGCCCTAGTGGACAGGGGTGGCTCAACATACCCTGCTATGGGCAACGTATCCCATATGTTAAAAAACCAACAAACAAACAAAAAAAAACCCTTATCCAATACGTGGGGTAAGCTGTGCCACCAGACCGCTTTTTTTGAAGAGGCTACAGTATATTATCTACTGTCACACCCAGGTACCACTCTTACTTGTTTGTAGGAATGTACAACACCCTGAAATGTATACAGAGTAATTATTTGCAGTGACTACAATGGGCTTTATGCACAGCTCCACTACTTCCTGAATTTAAGGTAGCTCCTTTTTTTCCAGTCTTTCATTACTGGACGAACTGATTAATCCAGGTGTGTCTGGCCAGTTACTTAGGTCATACACACTGGGATTAATCAGTGCATCCAATCATGAAAGACAGGAAACAAAGGAGCCTCCTGAAGTTCAGGAAGTGGTGGAGTTGTGCATAGAGCCTGTTGTTTTAATGTAGTGATCCTGAATATGAGAAGGAACTCAACTTACACCGGACTCCCTATAGTGTAGAGTTTGGTGTAGTGGTCTTAGATTAATGTGTATCATCAGATGCAATTATCTTCTTTCTCATAAGGTTTTTTACTCATGTGTAGTGAGTGATTACTGAAGGTATTCTCCTGCCCTTGCTAATGAAAGTAATAGGGCTAAGAAGTCTGATGTGTGCTATACCTAAAGCAATACATGTTCAGTGCAACAACTTACCAATTACAAATGTTTTATACTTTCAATTTCTTCCTCTCCCCATCCAAATCCCCTATACGCACACACTAGACCAAACATGCGCTTTCAAAGCGACAGCGACTCACCTGCACCAAAATCATCACTTCCTGCAGCCCCCAAAATTCAACGGCCAGACTTCAGTGTAACACAGAGAAGGGCCCCTAGCCCCCAACGACCTGCATCAGTGGCAAGACCACTGCCCAATGCTAGCCCACAACAACCAGGGACCAGTCGGGGCAATGAACTGTCAGCTGCAGGTGCTTCAAACCTTGCTCGTAAGTGATTGTATTTGTACACTAATGCACATACCCTCTCTGTCTCACAATTTTTTTCATCTTCCAATGCCTCTTTCTTTTTAATTATTTTATTGTATGTTGTTTTAGCTCTTCTTTGTAGGCTCCTGACAAACCAAGAGCTTATCATGGAGCAGATCAAAATTATTACCCTGACCCTGAACAAGATCCATGGACAACCTGTTGGTGGGCAGGAGGTCCTTGAAAAAGATGTCCTCCCAGTTAAGGATATCAGCTCTTTACTGGCTTTGGAGAAGCGGGTCAGGGAGGAGGCGGACTTTAAACAGAAAATGGTAACAATGCATTTCTCACTCTAGAACTATTTTGTGAGTGTTAGTGTTTCTGCTAGATTTTTTTTTTATTTAAGTGAAGACTATTCTAAACTAAAGAGTGTTTGGATACATGTTTTGTACATCTGTGGGAAACAAAATTCATCCTGCACATCCAAAATGAAGATCAGCTGGTTACATGGATATCTCAGGTAAAAAAAAATAATTCATAGCACACTGAAATGACTTCACTGAAAATGTATTGATTTATTGAAATAAATATTTACTGACAGCTGTCAATAGACAGAGCAGTCAGTCTTTGGACATTTTTCATCCATAAAGTGTGAGCTTTGTGGTCGTGTTTGATGATCAGACTGTACAGTGTGAGTACATAAATTGTTAGCTTTGACCATAAATGGGCTCTATTCACAACTCCAGAACTTCCCAAACTTAAGCCATCACCTTTGTTTTCTGTCTTTAATTACTGGACAAACTGATTA